GTAGGGCACATAGATATTTAGGTATAAGCCCAGTCTTTGATTGGTTCTGAGCAGCGGCAACAGGCGCCGCAGCTGGGCGAGGCGGGCACGCGGCACCTCGAGCAACGCCTCCGGCCGTTGGGCGGTATTGGGATGTTCTGCGGACAGACGGGCGAGAATCGATCCGCGCTGCGAACCGTTTTTCCACGTAGAGGGCGTTATGGGGGCATAAATCTGGGGATGAAAAAAAAATGGTTGAGCGATATACGTTCCGATAAGTAAATAAACCATTTCGGCCACAGGGCACCACCAAACCTATCGCATCACGTATACGTATAGTGGGCTGTTGACCTAGTGGGCTGTTGGTCTGTTGGGCCATTGAGGGATATTGGGGTTATTGGGCCGTGGGTGGCGTGCAAGTTGGTAGCGATTTAAGAGGAAAAGATTCTCTGGGCTCGTAAAACACAGAAACTAAGTACCGCCCATCAATCAAAATTGCAAAACTGCTTTTGATTAATTGTGCATTTTATTGTTTTGCGTTGAAATCCATCGATCATGTCGGTGGATGGGATGATGGGATGATGATATGGTAGCTTGACTGCCACTGCCGCTTTGGCTATGTTGATTTTATGACACGATAATTGACGCGAAACGTTTTGATTGTTTTTTGCTCCTTTGTGGCTTGCCGCCACCTTCCGACCCCTGCCAAGTTTCTCCTTTCCATTTAGCCATCCGGGCTAAAGGCAAACAATGGACCGCATAAACAAAAAGGCCGCGCTTTGTGGCGGGCCTAATTTTTCAGTTATACGTGACTTGGTTCTTGTGCATTTCACGTTCATGGGTTTTGGTACAGTTTTGGCAACTTACCACATCCCCACATCCTTTATGCCCCTTGTGCCTCATTCGGTACCATACCATACCCACCCATCTTGCCTTAAAACCCGTTCGACATGTTCGCTTGCGAAAATTAATACTTTTTCGACATAAAGCCCTGGAAAAAGTTAGGCTATAAACTATTTATAAACGAATATAACAATTTTTGTTTCAAACTTTTTGAGTGTTAACAGCTAGCGTTTTATTCGCTATTTTATTTTGTTTCGCGTACACGGAATTTTGAATTTTTCCCAGCAATGCCCCGAAATAGTATGTTTTGCATCTGAAAACATGAATATATGCAGTAACAAGCTTAGATCCACATGTAACATACAAATAACACTATAAATTATTAAAAGCTTTCAATAGAATTCTGATTTTCTATGGAATTTTTCGCAGTTTTATGGAATTCCCACGAGATGCCGTATATTCGGTGAATTTTGATTAGAAATAAAGGCGACAGATGCGCTTGATTAATTACCTTTGGCATGCCATGCCCGAGACCGTATCACAAATCCCTACAAGTCTTATCTACACGGCTGCAGGCTTTGCAGGCATAAGGAGGAAAATTTTCATAAGGTCTCTCGCCCGGCATTTGATTAACTTCTTTGTGCCGATTTTCGACATCTGTTGCTGCATGATAATGAACCACAATCATAAACGACTTCATTCACTTGCCTGTGTTCGGCTGTTGGGCTGTTAGGCTGTTTTGGCAGGCGTCACACTTTTGCCACAGGAAGTAATTAAAGAACAATTTTCATGAATTGTGGCTAAGCAAACAACATTGTGTTGAACGCTCGGTTGTCGGTGCTCAGTACGCTCCTGCCAAATGGAGGTGGTTGGATGGCTGTTGAAGGACCCTTTAAGTACTTCATCCAATCGCTTCATCAAACACACTTGTTGTTCATGCATGTCACACAAAGCTTTTACTCCTTCGAGCCTTCAAGCTGTCTGCTTATGTATGTGTATTGTTCTGATAGTCAGTTGGAGAGTGAGAGAGAGAAAGTGTGTGAAAGTCCTTTCCCGAGTAACGGAAAACTTTTGTAATATCCCACAAAACTTCGCTCGAGGGCTCAGTTTTCCATTCTCGGTCGCTCGTTCGCTGGCTCGCTTGTCGTTCAATACCACCAGCTCCTGAAATGGCTTATCGAACTTTTGTGGCTCAGAGGTCCTTGATTTGCCAGGTTCCTGGCGCCTGACAGTCCTTACACTCTTAACTCTCCACCATCCGGACTCCTAACGTCAACTGTTTTGTTATTAATTGGGTGTGGAATGGCTTGTTGATTCCTCGAGAGAAACACTCGCGGGAAGTTTACTGTTTTTAAAATCGCAACCTCCACTTTATCCTCCCTTTGCCACAAAAACTAACTCCCGGAAGAAAGTTTTTTAATTGTTAGGTATACAGAGCAAAGTTGCGGATTAATTCGAAGTAGCACTTTGGCTTCATTACGAGCGACTCTCTTCTCGTCCCTGCGGAACTTTAAATCCTCAAACAATGCTTTGGGATTTCCGGGGCCGAGAGGTCCGTAAACTTCTCACTTTCAGGCAAAACGCGAATGGGTGGTCTCGACAACAGACTACGGACTAAGGGGCTCCGGGTTCCGGATTCCGGACTTTAGGAACATACTACCGTCCTACTGCCGTACTGCCGTGCCCAGCACCATCCACACACATATTTCATGAGAATAATTATTAAAATTGCTTTGATAAAGTTGCGCAGGGGCGCAGTGCGAAAAAGTTGGCCAAAAGAGCCCAGCCTTTCAGCCTGAGACGACCCCCATGTGGCTTCCTGATTGTGATATCTCTTTGGTGGAGATGAGAGCGTGTCACGAGGTCTTTATATATTGAAAAGAATTATATATGCACAGGCGGAAAATAAGGAAAAGCTTGGGAATTTTAAATATCTATAGGAAAATAAGAATCTTCATTTAAAAGAAGCTTTTTGGTTTAGCGGAAAACTCAAGCTGGAATACTTATAATACTACCAGTTTTATACTTTTTCACTTTAAATTTTGATAAAAAAAATTATGTATGTAACAGACTCTTGCACGGTGCGTGTCACGCTGTCATCTCCACTTGACTATTTCTTTCATCAACCCACGACCCCCCGGATAGCATAATCTTGTGCAACACCGCACGACTTTACTCACCTGAGACTGCCCACCGGCGGAGAGGCGTAGGGAATGCCCAGGAATGCCTCCACCAACGGCGACGAGCGCACCACAATCCCCCGCAGCAGACCGTACTTGGTCTTGACGGTGTTACTGCCACCATGGAGGCAGTCGCAGCAATCTGGCCACAGGCTGGTGAGCAGCAGGAGCATTAACAGTGTGCTCGGCGTCAGCTGGTGGCGCCAGCACGCCTCCGGGTGTCCTGGGTGTCCTGCTGCATGATGGTTGGCTGTATGTCCGGGATGTCCCGGGTGTGGATGGGGATGTCTCCTCCTACTCCGTGGGCTGGTGACTCCAGCTGACGTTGCTGATTGCTGGCGCCTTTGATTGTGTTCGTCGGTTGTGGAAATCTCTAGAAATCTCTTTAATGTTATCAGTCTTATAATGCAAATTCCCGTTGCCATGATGCGGGCATCCGCTTCCGCATCCGCTTTTGTTTCCGCTCTCCTTTTAGCTTCTGCTCCTTCTCTTGATCCTGCTCCTGCGCCCGTTTCCGGTTCCGCTTCCCGCTCTTTATCTGCTCCATCCGCTTCCGCAACCGTTTGCTGCACAATTGAAGCGCAAATAGTTCTAATGCAACCCATCAAGGAACCGAGGCAAAGTAAACCGTAAATATGTAGAAAACGCGATTGAATTATCTTAGTTTGTGTCAGCTGACTCCTTGGCCTTGCTCTTGATGTCCTCAGCATCAATTGGCCCGGCCAGTTTCCGGTTGTTTGTGACACTTTCCGGCCATGGGAATCGAACTGTGACTTGGTTTTGGATTTGGACTTGGATTTCGATTGAAATTGTGACTGTGACTGTGAATGTTGTGGCAGCAGTGGCTGTAGCTTAGACGGAGTCGAAGACGAGCACTCCGGGAAGGACAGGATGCTGAATGCCGTGTCCTTTTCATTTTGACAGCCGTTGTGCGCATGTTGAGCTTCTGATTCACGTGCAGCGTCGTCATGGTTGGACCCTAACGCTTTGATTTCAAATATTATACACCGAACGTGTTGGCCTCTGCTCTATTAGAGCTGCGATTTCAGCGTCCGTGTCCCCGTCTCCAATATCCAATCCTTTGGCTCTGGCTGTCTGCTCGTGTGTGGAAATATCTGCAAATGCGAGAAAAGCGAAAAAAAATGCATGAGAATTAGTTTCAACACGCTAACCAATTTGGAGAAGAAGGAGTGTGTAAGTCGGTGCCAGGTGGGTGGTGCTGGGATTGTATTTTCCTTTTATGAGATTGCAGATTGCTTGGCGGAGCAAAGATGCAGTCCCATGTCGTACCTTGGTGCACCTCGGCGAGGACCTTTACGCTGTCAGGCTCGGGTCTTAACTGCGCCACGCATCAGAGCATGGCATCCTTAAATAGCCTTGGTCAATGCATCCGGCCAAGCAGCAATGGAAAAGCAAAGGAGACTGTGTCTACTTGTTACACTTGGAATTCTGATGGAAGGAAGTTTATACAATTTTTTTTGATGAATTTTAAAATATATATATTGATAAGTATATATTTTAAATTGTATTAGAAATAAACACCTGAAAAAGCCTATTTTTTTATGAATTATTTATTATATCCTAAAATATCCTTTTTTTTCTGCAAGTGTACGGTAATGGGGACTGCTTTGGCGCCCACTTTATGGCTGCCCACCTCATGGCGGGGCACGTTTGTGGCATCGGGTTGAACTGCTTCTACTGGTGCAGCTGCAGGTGCAAAGCGCTTTGCGATGGCACTGTTTGACCTCGCCGTCTGCTCTTAGCAAGGATTGCCCCCACCCCTTCCAGCTTGTTTTTAGCCATTTTTCCTATACCCCCGGCACATCCTGTTGCCGCTGGTGTGGCTTTTGTATAAGCGTAAGTAAAGGATGATTGTAAACGTGTTGGATCGCAGCGAACTAGTTTAGCGAATGGGCTTTATGGGAAATAAAACACAGGTGATTGATGTTTGAACTGGCTCAACTTCATTGAAAGACGATCTTTGGGACAGTCGATTTAACACAAGAATGCTTTAGCCAAAAATACATCCTTGGTCTTAAAGGCATGCTTTTTGCAACCAGAGACTAGAGAACAATACTCTGCCATTTGCATAGAAATATGCCATAATGGGAATGAAAACAATTCATGGTTGAATTTCGTACAAGCTCTACTTCATTAAAGGGGGATATTTAAAAAAAATCGATTCAAAACAAGCATGCTTTTTCCATTTGCATAGAAATTAAGCATTTATTGATGATTCCAAACAATCGATGTAAAAAAAAGCATGTTTTTCTCTTAAATACATCCAGGGTCTTAAAAATATCCTCTTTGCCAAAATATGTGTTAACAATTCTTCTCCATTTGCATAGAAATACAAAGTTCTGGTAATTACAACACTCATGACTGCTTTTCGAACTATCTCTACTTCATTGAAGAGGGATCTTTTAAAAATCAATTTAAACAAGCATGCTTTTTCTAAAAATAAATCCTTGCTTTTAAAAGATATTTTTATGCTAAAAATATTTGTGAACAATACTCCTCCATTTGCATAGAAATACGCATAACCCTCTCAACACATTACAACGTTAATCCCTAATGTAGGCTACGCACTCTGGGGGGCTCTTTTCAAATGGGTATGGGTATAGAGGTGGTGGTGGAGGATGGGCTTTATTTGGGTTAAGATAAAAATGTGTAAATCTGTCAACCTTTTAGGTGTTAATTTAATGTACTTAACCGCACAAACACACCCGGAATATTGTGGACCACGAGTGTTATGGACTCCTAAGCTCTTGTGGGCCTCATTAACAAATGTTGCCGGGCTTCTGTTATGGGCTTAGAGCGGTCCAGAGCGGTCCGGGTCGAAATAAGAGTGCCTGCCAGCCAGCGCACAGCCGGCACAACATATACCCATATATCTTCTGCTTTCCGAGCTTTCCAGAGCAGAGCTGTTTAAATCCGTATATTTTATAAAGCTAAACAATTGGCAAAAAATAAAACAATGCCAAAACACAATGCAGAAAACGGTCTGAAAACGAGACGAGTCGAGTTCAGTTGAGCTAAGCTAAACAAGCACACATTTCACTAAATTGCAGCCATAAAACTAAAGTTTAACTATGCTGCGGACCGGGATACTATTGCCCATGGGCAGCTTAACATTTTCTCCCTCGTCCTGCCATCCTGCCATCCTGCCTGGCATGTGTGTGTTTGTGTTTGTCTGTATATGTTGACAACCAAAATGTCGGCACGTTTTTAACGAAAAAATTGCTGGTGTCTTTACTTGTCTTTGGTTTCTGTGTATGGGTTTTGGTCTGAGTCATTGCCTGATGCTGCTGATACGGATGCCAGGATTTTTCGAATAAATTTCATCGTTTCAATTAACTAAAAGCTGAAAATGGCATCTCTGCTGCAGTCCCAGCAGTACTTTATGTTTATACATAGAAAAAATCTTTAATGTTTGTAGAAGTGGTCTGGAAAGAAAAGTAACGCTTTTTTTGCGGGAAGAGTAACGCTTGTCTCCGGCATGATAAATATTTACATTTTCTTTTATTTCACATTGCTTGGCAAATGTCTTTCATGGCATGCGTTTTCTTTAGCTCTTTATGCCGTTTCTAGGTTCTTTCATTCTTTGGCCGCCACCCCAAAACGATTGTATGGGAAATCTGTAAAGACCGATAAAATTGCATATTTTCCCATGAAAGGCGTCGGCCCAGAGGGGCAAAAATAAATAAAATGAAGAAAAAAAAGCCATGCTAAGAACGTGTATCCACGAGCGTTCATTCACACAGAGCACAGAGCATCTGGGCGATGGAAATGCAAAAAGATGGAAGAACTCACACATGCAGATGGATGTGTGTGACGGCGGATGGTGAAGCGGAAATGCGAGGAGCTGGCATGGAAATCATGGCAACGCAAACAGGAAAGTTACGCTCCCGACTTACTCAGGTCTTTTGCCCGGTTCTCTGATGCCAAGAAAAGTCTCTGGCAAAATAAGCAGATGAAACGATATAAGATGATGGTTCCTTCGGGCGTCGATGTCTGCCAGGTTTTTGGATCTGACAGAGTCGACTATCGGTTTCCCCACTTTCTCAAAAATCACTCGGATGAGCTCTGTAAGATATGCTAAGGATTTGCCATGCCTTGAATTTAAGGGTCCCCTCTTATTTTCTTTTTTTAATTTCCTGGGTGTGGCTGGGAAGATAAAGTAGGACTATAAGTGATATTTTGCAATAAAAAAAATTGGCACAAAATGTGGGGATTTTCGAGAGGCTTTGCCCATGGTCTGGAGTGCCTGCCCCAATGGCAGGACTTTTTTTCCTGGGTAATGGCGAAAGGAGCCTCGAGAGAAGGCAAGCCACCCCGCAAAATCGCACACACTGCCGCGCCCACTGGGGCACGGACGCTGAGTGGCGGCTGTCCTCGCCTTGTCATTGCCATTCGCTGGTTGAAGTTTTTACATTAAAAGTGGAAATAAAAGTTGCAAGACGCATTAAAAATTGTTGCATTTTACAATTGCGCAGGAATTGCAATTGTGCAACGGCAGTGGCACTGGCACGGGCTATGGCAATTGCACAGAATTCGAAATTGCTGAGATGTGCCGCATTCAGATGATGATGAGGATGGGGATAATGATGCTGATGCTGACGCCCATGGACGAATCGAATCGAAAGCTTGAAGCTGAAGCACTTTAATAAGTATCACAAATGTATCTCGATAAGCTATATAAGGGCAACTAAAATTGCAAGGGAAATTGCACAAGAAAAGCCAAAACCGAAAAACCAAACCAATAACTTTCGTTTAGTCAAGCATTCAATTGAATCCTTGATAAAGGAGGAAATAAGCTTTAAGCCAGCAGAGTCTGAGTCTCTGTGAGCAAGATGAATACTGCGGAAAAACAATAGACAGGCGGCTGATAGACGGGAAAAGGCAAAAATATTTATGAAAATAAATACAGATTGTTCTACCATCTCTTCCCATCTCTACTTGCTACCAGCTACCATCTACCATCTACTGCCACATCCATTGGGTCCCAGCTATGTCGGTTAAGTTTTTATGGAGCTGAATTTTTTCCCATAGCAATATTATTTTATTTGTTCTTGGTTGTGGCTCACAAAAGAAAATTTGATAACAATCTGCAGACTGTTAGGCGAATATATGCATGTATTCCAACTTTAAGGAGTTACGCAGCTTGAAAGTTTTAAATTTTCCAATTAAATGGGAAATGGAAAAGCTTTTGTATTGGTTTTTCTAAAATACAAGGCGTCTTGTTTAATAAATAGAAAAATATGGTTTGTTAAGTATCTGTTTAGTGGTTATTTAGTGGTTACTGAATATTTAATATTTACTTTACTCTACTGTAGTACTTCAGAGAAGTTAGGAATATTTATGTTCTTTGCTGCAATCAAGAAAATGCGATATAATTAGCAGCCAAGTTACAAGGACTCACAAAGGATTGTGTCGGCTGGATAGGCTGGGGCTGGCTGGCCTGGCCTGGCTGGCCTGTCCTGTGTCAGGGACCCTATATAGCAATTTCAATTTCTGCACCAAAAGGAATTATGCCCCTTATCCCATTTAACTTCGCTGTGTGTTTTTTGTTTTATTTGCCATTTAAATTATAATTCTCGTTTGACCTTTTTTTTGTGTGTGCCCGTGCGTCCTTTCGCTTCTCGGTATATGGGTGTCTGTGTGTGTGTGTGTATAGAGGTCCCCTATTTGCCAGACTGTCAGAAAAGGACGAAGCGCCTGCTCGAAATGGCAAAGGAGGAAACCATGCGCCGTCCAGAACTGAGTGGGCCAGCATCAGAATGTGGAACTACAAAACATTTCAAATGCCATTTAGTGCCAGC